AGATCTGGCTGGTAAGGACGAAATACCTTTAAGGGGGGGACTTTTTGGGGGGGGTTAAGCATCAAGGATGAAGATGTCAGCACACCACAGTTTTTTGAGTTGTAGGACACCAAAAAGGAAATGAATTAGCAGTTGAAGAGTTATTGGTTGATGTTCAGTGTAGTTTTAATATCCTTAAGAGTGCTGTTAAATTGTTTCGCTGTGCATGACGCTGCTGCTGAGCTGGAAACCAGTGCTTTCCTTGCCTTTCCGTGCCCAGTTGCTCACTGCGAGCAAAGGGGAATGCCTTAGCAGTGTGGCAGGAGCATTGTCGTCGCCGTTTAATTCATTTGGTTTGAGGTTTACATCCTGTGTAACAAACATCTTGTTTGTGGCCTGACAACAAGAGTTGTTTAAAGCCGTTTTCTTCTGCCAGCTGCTTTGTGGTCAGCTGGAGGGAACCCAGCCAGACAGCTACCCTGTAATCAGATCACTTTCTAGTTAGGGCAACGAAGAAGATAGCGGCGGGCAGATCCCTTAAGCTGGTGTGTTTCAGAAAGCTCTTTGTTAAACAACTGTCTTCTGCCTTCATTCCAAGACGGCTCCATCGCTGTTCATTTCCTCTCCCTATTAAGTGCTTATCTGTGGCTAGACACGAGCAGCTGGATAGAGACTGAGTGAAAATTGGAAAAGCTCGAGGCATTGCTCTTGTCTGAGGAAGCAGCAGCCAAGAGCCATTTGCCTGCAGAGCTGGAGAGTGGCCGGGGCTGCTCCGCGCAGGTGCGTGTTACCCTCCTTGCAGCTGGGTGATGAACGGGATGGTCAAACAGACTGTTTATCCTCTGGCACAGGAGGGACTGACTAGCATGAAAATTAACACTCAGCCTACAGCTTTCACTCAAAGCCCCCAACTGTGGGCTGCCAGCGGGCAACCTCAGGCTTCGAGTGAAAAATGGAAGAGGAAACGGTCTTGTTTTTCTAACATTCAACATCAGCAAAAAATTAGGAGAATCATCAGCTACTGATGACTTTGCTTTGTTTTGTTCCAAGTTCTTTCACTAACCTACGTTATGGAAATACCCACTCTCTGCCCTAAAGAACATACCAAGCAAGAGATAAGGACTACTCCAAGGACTAATGTTTTTATTAGAGCAACATCAGAGATGAGTTTCCTGAATCACACAAGCTGTTTTTACCTTTACCTTGAGTGCTTTGTCTATGGACAGGAGTCTGCAAAAGGCAAACTCTCACACCATCATGCTCTTCAGGATTCACATTGATTTTCAAGTTTTTAGGCACATGGGAAACCACGAGGTGCATGGGGAAAATTCAGCCATTTCTTGAGCTCACGCTTATCAGATAATTCCCTTATCTGATCCGCACACTTTTTCTTGTGCTGGTAATGGAGCCACAGGGGTTCTCAGCTTCAGAGCTGCCAATCCTTTTTATGAAATAAAAGTGTTATTTTCAATATTTTGTTACTTTCTAAAGTGGGTTGAATGAGATTAAGCAAAATTAGCACCTTCCAGTTGTGAACTCCAATTTCACTGCAATGATTGCTATTCCCCTTCAGGATTCATTCCTTTCCCAGGTCAAGAGTGCACAGTAGCACTCTGGAAGCAATGGATTAAAGTGCTGATAGGAGATATTTCTCCTTTTATCTTCTGCAGAATCTGTCTCATGACTATTTTGGCCTATTTAAATAATGGCTTCAATTTCCTCAGCATAGAGATTGTCCTGAATTTAACACATTTATTCTGTTAAGCTTAATGGCATTAGCTGCTTCAGAAGAGTTAAATACTTGCACACATTTTTAGCCATGTTTTCACTTCTCCTTAACTGTATTGAGGTGAATTTCTGAGAATGAAAGTACTGATTAGACGCTATACAATGCAAGTGCTTAGGACTCCAGGCTTATATGAATCTTTAGTCTTGAAGCTACAGGATAAACAACCAGGTCTGATACTTGCTGTGCAATACTGAAAGCACAGAGTGATTAAACAGAGCTTGACAATAAGCAAAACTCTGCAAAATAATTTCACAGTGGTTGAAACTTCTGTTTTCAAATACAAAATAAAAACAGAGCTTGGGAAAGTGTTGGGTGATTTCCTTTCCCTGCCACCGATTGAGACTTAGATGGGACACTTTGTTCCCATTGGGAAAGAAAATAATATTCACCGGTATATTTGTTCAAAGAATGCTACTCTCAGCATTTTCAGAAATCAAATGCAATCCATCAGCTTAAAGGGAGACGGCAGCATTGTTTTGAATGTTTCATTATCAATTTGCACTGAAGGAAGTAGCCCCATGCTGTTATCTGCCCCTGTTTTCTTTTGATTCAAGGAGCCTGTTTGTGGATTATGTTGTGTTGCATTTTTGGCTTGCCAGGATACTACCATGGCTTCAGAAAGGTTTTCTTATAAAAACTGCCCAGTTTCTATTATTCCTATTTGGTGCAAGGCCAGTGGTTGTTAGACATCTGCCTGCTTAGGCTGCTCACGGGGACAAGGTCAGTGCAGCTCGGGGAAGCTCGAGGGTGCCCAAACAGAGCTCCGGATCAGCTGGTGCCATTTGCATGGCTTGAGTACAGCTCAAGTAGCCTGCCCAGTTAGTTTAATTATCATTCAAACTGGGACAGCCATTGTGTATAAATCATGGGAATTATACTCCTTGCAAAAGCAGAGACAAAACATTGACAACAGTGAGCAAAACCAGCATTATTTCACTTACAGCACTGGGATCTACCCCTCCCCTCCTTCCCTAGCTTAGGCATGCCTGAAAACCAGAGATCTCTGTTCTGCAGTTATCCTGAGCAAGGATTTGTGTCCCCCTGAACGTGGACACAATCAACCCCAGGCCCTTTGCTAAAGGAACAGCACGTAGCTGGGGAGTTTTAGTTTCACTCAGTCCATTACTAGAGAAAAACAAGCCACATACACTAAGGTTACTGTGTTGAACATAAGGAAAGTCAAACTTTTTCCAGACACTGGAAAAGATTAAGCATACGTATGGTCCAGCATTTGTCACACAGCAGTCTAAATTGAGAATATGATAGAATATTAGCCTTGTTACTAGGGCTGATCCACTGAACACAAGAAATAACCTGGAATAATCCAAACTTACAACCGAGCTCATTAAAAATTGGTCTTCAGAGATTACAGTTTCTCAGAGACATTATCCGCCAGTAATCACAGTAGCATCTAAGCAACTAGTGGCCTTTGGTCTTCAATTCCAGCTTTTGTTTAATCCACCAAGCATTTATAGCTGAGTGTGTTCACAGTCACGCCATGCTGAAACCCGCTGAAGCCAATGGAGTAACTCAGGATTAGTTCCCTTCCAGCTGAGATCAGATCCTAAACAAAAAACGATGCCTACCATCGGCCTTCACTCTCTGCAACTCTCTTCCAAGCGGTTTCATCCACACAGTGCGGGTCTTTCCATTTTCTTCCAGTTTGCTTTACGATTTGTCTTTTCACTTAAGTCTATTTAATTTAGCTGGGAGTTTTCCCCACTATTCTCCCTCTTTCTGCTGCTACGAAGAACACGACATAAAATTATTTTGTTTGAGTCAATGCATTGGTCTTGGCACCAAGCATCCGACTGGCATGTTCAACATCAAGGGAGAGAATTTGGGCAAGGAATTTTGATCAATAGGAAATGCAAAAAATTAATACGTACGAGAATTTGTTCTATCGCTATCAGAAATATAATGTTCATGCTGGCTACATGATTCTCTTTCCATCCACCTGGCAAGAAGCATTAAAGTTTCCCTCTAGGGCTGGCAAAGGGCTCTTTTTCCATAGCATCGTTTGACCATGGAACAGTTGGCAGGGGGAATTTGAAGAGTGATGTGGCTGTATCCTTTCTTTCAGACAGTTAAACATGTCTTCTCCAGTGGCAGCTTTGGCAGTGAGTCCCTGAAGATGGGAAGGTGTATGAGTGGCCTACCACAGTGCTAAATCTCAGGTCAGGAAAGCAGCAAATTCAGAGAATTCCTGTTTATAAGCTATGCATGCATACAAATTTGTTCCTTTTGATATACGTTTCAGTCTGCAAATGGCAAGATCTTGAACGAAATCACTGCAGACTGGCATTGGCAACCTCAGCTAATGGAATCGTAAACAGTAGAGTAGAAAAAGGTCCCGTGGGCCATCCCGTCTGAGCTCTGCGCTTTCCAGAGCAGCTCAGTAATGCTCTGTGTAATCACTTTTTGCTGGATCTCTGCAGTGATGAATTCTTGTGCGTACCCTGGGGGATATTATCCTGTTACCCCAAACTGCTCTTACTATGAGCATATGTTTTGTAATTCCGAGCCTTGGCCTGACACTCTTTTTTGCTCTTTCCTGTCTCACCATCATCTCAGATGACAAATGATTTGCTGTAGCTATTACTATCCTGTAATTTATTTGTAGGAGTTAATGCTGTCTTCATCAGCCATGTTTTCTTAAATGATGCAAAATCACTGGCTCCAAAATCTTTGTATCCTGACATATGTTAAATAAAACTTCAGTAAGAGTTAAAAAAAATTATTATACTCAGATGACAAACCAGGTGTGAATTTGGTTGCATACAACATAATTTACATGGCCAAACTAATGAAGAGAACAATGAATATGCTGATTAACACCACAATCGTCTGTTAAAGTAATTGTTTTAATCACGAAAATATTCTGAAACCCCAAACTATAGGATTATTCAAATGCAAGAGTCAGGTTTCTACCGTGCCCATTATTCAGCTGTGGTGAAATCCACCTCTGTGACTCACCGCTTGCCGCTGATGTTTGCCATTTGTACAGTGAAAACAGCCGGGTAGCCAACAGAGCGGGGAAATTCACTGTGCAAGGGGTTAACTACAAACTGGTTAATGGAAAAGGCTGAACCTAAAAGGCAAGCTAAATTAGACAAAGGGTGAAATGGCAAAGTCAAGGTGAGGTGAAAACACACTGAGTAACCACATTGTCTTATTTTCCTTTTCTTTCCCCTCATAGCCATTATTTCCTTATTGCAGTAAGATTTTTTGCCTTTATTTGGTTTTTTGTGAGGACCATAAACACATTTCAAAGACATATGAAAACAATAATAACAAAATTTTGTTCCAAGAAGTAGTAACCATCCAAACCAGAAGCAGAAATAGTGCCCTGTGAATCAGGTGATCACCACACGCTGAGAATAGGAAACAGCCAATGATCAAATCGTACAGATCCTGTGCAATCTGGAGATGTTTCTTCCAGTTTCTTGGTCAAACATCTATTAAAAAAATGACTATTGTAACAAAACCAGAGTTGGTTGTGAACAATTCACAGACACTAAAAGAAAAAAAAAGCCTGAATTGTGAACAAATACTAATGGCAACAAATAAATCAACAAGCACCTAATTATTTATGTCTTCTCACTATAACAGCACATTAATCTGCCATAGTCATGGATGAATCACAGAATATTCAACTTTCCAAATGCATGTTGGATTCTTTAAAACTGGACCACAGATATGAAGAAGAAAAAAAAAAAGAGATTACTGGAAATGGTGAAATAAATTGTCTCATGGTAGTTTGTTTACGCATAACATTTTCAATAGCTATAATGGGGCATGGGAAGGGTGGGAGAGAGCTGCTCTTATGTAAACTAAGGAGCTAAGAGCAGTACTGTGTTGGGGTCACTCAATAGTCCATGGAGGAAGTCCAGCCTCTCTGCAGGGTCAAATAGCAGGAGTTTGGAGACAGCAACTTCACCTTTAGCCCAAGCGTATTGTATCCCCCTTACCCTCCAAATGGTTTACACATCTTGCTACCCTCTTGCACTGGCAGTAGGAGGGTATTTTGGTTCGAATACAAGGCTCGTTCTTAAGACTTCTGGCTCTGCCACTGATTTACTGGGTACTTGGGCAAGCCACTGCATCTCTCTATGCCTCCAGTCCAGCATATAAAACACAAATAATTACAGCGCTTTTGTCCCGTCCTGTGTCATCCTTGGTCACAATGAAAAATGACCAGGAAGGGGTTGAATTCATGGGGGTTAGCACCTAGCATCGGATGGCCCCGTCAGAAACAGTTGGTACAAGTCTTGTTGAAGTTAAACAGCAATAACAGTTCTGATGTTTCCTATCTTAGAAAGCACAAGGCTAGTCCAGAGCTATGCAAAGAGCAGGAAGTAACTGGAGATGAGGGGGAAATATAATGGCAAAACTTTTCTAATATGATCCAGTACTTCTCAAAATCCCTAAAGATGTGGTTCAAGTTTTACGCAAATGTTGTGAGATGCTTTTATTTTCTTTGAAAAGGAGTTTGCCAGCCCTCTGCAAGAACCGCTCGTGATGGAGACAATGACACATGAGGCGAAACAGAAGTGTGAATACCTCCGTCGCCCTCGGGTTTGTACTTTCTCTTTCGCCCTTCTGTTCTCACCTAGGGAAAGATGAACATCTGCGTTCACAGCGATCGCAGGACACTGCTGCTTTGCTGACTGGCAGGAAGTGCCAATGTGAAGCGGGTGTAACCTTCTTCTCCAGCTTGCCCTCAGAAAGCACATGAAACACATCGGCCCTTGTTGCTTCCATAAGCTGAAAGGAGTTTGTGATTCCAAGTCTACTCCACTCACAGCACGACATGCCCTGGGTCAGCCCCAGCAATAATGTTTTTAAACAATATTAGGTTATTCTTGGCAATCGATGATGACATTTTCTACCAATCGGGATATGAGAAAAACTTCTAATAATAAGAAGTGATAGAATAACAGAACTGGAGACCAAAATATTCTCAAACACAGAGGCTGGTTACACTGTGGGGGCAGAGGGAAGCTGAGACATGTCCCAGCTATGATTTGTCTTAAGAGTTTAACCCAAACATACTGTTAATTCCACACTTGGGGAGTCCAAGTCTAATTACTCTGTACTCGAGATCCTCACAGTAGTAGGCAAGGCAAATGCTGCGTTCATACTTTTCTCTGCTCCTATGTGTGATCAAACAATCAGGTATTTAACATAGAAATTGAAATAATTTGCAAATCTGACACAGGAATAACTTACCAAATTCTAAGTCTGGGTTACTTTTCTGTATCTATGCCTCCACATGGACTAGACTCGCTTTTTCCTGGTGGGCCTAACATAATTTTTGACGTGCATGCTAACACAGAAATTAATATTTTCCCCTCCTTTGTACACTGTGGGACGTGCTTTGTGCAGTGCAGTGGTGATGATGGCAATTCTCTTTTATGCATATAGTGATAATTTAACCCCAAAAATGCACTCAGCAAAATTTAGGAGAGATTGAAAGAAGTACTACCAGTACTACCATCTGACTGCAAAGATGTGCTAGTTCAGGGTTTGATGCACGCTTGCAATGTGAGTACATTCCCAGTGGGTTTACATGCTATGACATCTGAAAGCTTAAGTGAAGCACAGCTACCGTTCCCTGTGCAAGCTCAGTGATACTCCCGTGGAGAGGTAAACATGCGCTACCCGGTATTTTTCTCAGCTCTTTTAAGAGGCACAATAGGAGAAAGTGCATAGAGATGCAGGAGGCAGGGAGGCAGAAGCAATGGAAATCGGAGGGACCATTCCAAGTTTGAAGGACATCATGCAAAGAAGTATAAAAAATGCACAGTGGAGGTGAATATAGGGAACATACAGGAAGATAGGACTTACAGGGAAAGAGCTTCAAGAGAAAGCGAAAAGGCCATGACAAAAGAAACAAGGATGGTTGTATGCATAAAGAGCTTCCAAGCTAGGTCAGCCCTTAGGTCTACCTAGTTGAGTAACTTGGCCACAGCTCTGTGATGGTGAAAATATACTGAATCTGAATGAGTCTGACAGAATGAAGCACCCTGGCTTTCTCTCTCAGCCACAAGTGCCTTTCAACATCAAGTTACTACTGCCATTATATAGAGGAGTTAAAGGCAAAATGCAACAAGGCACTTTAAGCTGAAGGTCTTTCAGAGGCACTGATGTCTTTGCCCTGATAATACAGGGCTCTTCTTTGCACTATGATTTCAATGGCTTTGTCTCATTCAGATTGAACAAAAATAAGCTGTTCCTAAGGCACATCTTCAAAGAATAATTTCAGCAGCTCCTAGTCAAATAACAAGACAAACTGGGACTGGGAAAAGGAACTATCTCAACATTTCCTGCTGTTACTGCTCTACCAGCTCACATGGTTCAGTTCCACTACAGTCCTTTCAGGATTATTTTTTATGATGCAAACAGTACCTGACCCTCCCAACGAAAGCATTGTCCGGTTCTTCAGAACCATTTCCAATGGGCTTGTTTTTCTAGGGTTTCACTTTTTCTGGTATTCATAAATATATCATATTCCATATCGCATCCTACTGAAATTATAACTCAGTTCTATTCAACTGTCCTCCATGAGTCCTTCCTGGATGGGGTCTTGCTCAGGGTTGTATTCAAGCCCTTCTTCATACACACGGTATGGAAGTCTCTGTGGGAATAAGAGCATCCTACAGCAGGAGCATGTTACCAGAACCAGCTTCTCTGCTAATACAAGAGATTGACTGAACAGTCCCATGGGGATGAAATCCAGTTTAGCAGTTGTTTCTGCTCTGCTCTTGCCCTCAGACACTCAGACTCTTTTATTTCACTCTGATGCATACCAAGCTAGGCCTTTTCTTTCCTGATGCTTCCCTGAGTGGTTTACACACTTCCAGAGGCTGTCTTTGGAGAGTGTCGTTCAGGTCCTTCCATTACAGCTTGGCTGACAGCTCTCGAACGCTCAGCATTTGTAGCATCACGTTACGCTTGGTGCTACAGGAAAGACTGAGGAAGGCGTTGGCAACCTGGGAAGTCCTGCCCTGCAGGGCAGCTCCAGGATGCCCCAAGCAGCTCAGCAATAAGCCATGCAAACCAGCTGGGCAGTCCCCAACCTCCACATCTCACTGCAGCTATGGACACAACACACCACCGTTCCCTAAACTCCTCTTTTTCCATCTCTCAGTCTCCGATATGGTTTTTCCAGCCTTCTCCCCACCCTGGGACTGACTGATTGATAGCAGCAGTTGATCTTCGTGCTCTTTCTCCCCCTCAGATGGGTGAGCAGCTGTCGTTTCCAGAGAGCGAGCGAATGAACTCCTCCTTTCTTTTTTCTCCCCATCCGTCAGCTCAAAAGTAACACTGAGAGCAAATGGAGTCTCCCAGCTGGTTTGATTTATTTGGTTTAATGTTCCACCATGACCCCTTGGCTTGGCCTGGCCTTTCATCCAAGCACTGTAGGGGCCTAAGGCTACTTAACTTCCGTGATTAGATGAGTTCAGTGTATTCCGGCCTGTTTGGCCAAAATCCAAGCAATTCACTTAACTACTGTCTCCATTTCGAAGAGGTTGAACTACGGCACAGGGAGAGACATCCCAAGAAATTCTGCATAGCCCAAAAGCACACGGGGAGTCTGATGGAGCCCCAGGTTTGCAGAGACTCATGCTAAGTTGCCCTTCGTCCTCTCCCAGAAAGACAAAGCCCTTCAGCAGTGCCAGCCATTCTGAATTTGCCACCCGTGGAGGAGCAGAGCAGGCATGTCTTCTTCCTCTTCCCTTCTTTCATGGCCTTTTCCACATTGCGGTGGCTCTCTAACGTTTATTCAAAGAAAAACTCTCTTTTCCGTGATGGCTGACATGGTGGTTGACATGCAACGTGTCAGGCAGAGAAGAACTAGCCCCAGAAACAAAAAAAATGATCCAAATTTTCAGATGGGTTGGCTTTTTTGCCCTGTGACACCTCTCCCTTTCTACTCTCAACCTCTCTCTTGAGCAGAGTCCTAGATCATAAATTCAACAACCAGCAAAATGAGAGGGAGACGCTTTTCTCTGACGAAGGGACTGCCCTGGGCCAACTGCCCTGGCTCTGCCTTTCCATGTCAGAAATATCTGTTGACCCAGGTAAATTGGCCAGTTTTTTTCCCTGCTGCTTGGGATCTGACAAGGACCTGACTGAACGAAGTGTTTTAATTCAGGTACAACAGTGGCCAAAAGTGGCATATGAAAGTATTAGGAAGTGGCACATGTAGCTCTGGTCTACACACAGTATCTTTTGTACTGGTGTAATTATGTTGGCTAAGGCTGTGATATTTTACCCTTACAGTTATAGCAGCATATCCTGTAGTGTGGACAGCATAAGGGTGCCTTATACCATCTAAGCTCATTCCCTTTTCTCATACAGGAATAAGCCATACGAATATAAGTGTTTTTATATTAGTAGAGCTTCACCCACATCAGGGAAATTATACAGTTTTAGCCATCCAAAGAAAAAT